ACTTGATATATTTCCTCAGTTTTATGCACTGTTAAAAGAAAAGGTGACCTGAGGCACACGGAGATTTTAAAAAGTTTAGCTTGTGAGCAGCAATTGGCTAAGCGGGAAACGCCAAATGGAAAGAGGTTTAGTATCGCAATGACAAGGTGACAAGGGACAGTAAATGTGAAAATTTATGGGTAAATGTGAAAGCAAAATAGAGGAAATATTTGCTTGGTTTTGATTTTGCTGTTGTAGTTCACCTGGTTGGAAAATTCACGTAATCATATGTTATTTGTCTACTTATGGTTGGCTGAGGGGATGTTTTTCTTTCAGTCTAACATAAGCATTTGCCAAAAATGGCCCACGTTATGTTCTGCTGAGGCTTGCTCTCTTTGTGGGGTATTATCTTTTCCTATATAAACGATTTAGATTTTTTTTTTTAAATATTTATTTATTTTTTTTTTAAGTTTTTTTCAGCGGACACAACATCTTTGTATGTGGTGCTGAGGATCGAACCCGGGCCTCACGCATGCCAGGCGAGCACACTACCGCTTGAGCCACATCCCCAGCCCCCGATTTAGATTTTTATGTAACCAAACAGGTCTATATTTTCTTGGGTGGTTTCTGGATTCTCTATTTTGAACACATCCTCTGGATTTTCTTCTAAGAGTTTAATTTTTTTATGTTGAAATTTGTGATTCATCTTGCATTGATATTGATTTTTTTTTTGTGTGGTGCTGAGGATTGAACCCAGGGCCTTATGCATGCAAGGCAAGCACTCTACCAACTGAGCTATATCCCCAGCCCTCACATTGATTTTTGCATATGACATATTAATTTTCTTCCAGAAGGACAGTTGTGTCTGTACCATTTATTAAGCAATCAGTAATTATCCCAATAAATTACAAGGGCAATTTTGCTGAATTTAAAATTCTTTTATTATTTTTTTAATTTTGGGGGGTACCAGGAATTGAACTCAGGGGCACTCCACCACTGAGCCTCATCCCCAACCCTATTTCTTATTTTATTTAGAGACAGGGTCTCACTGAGTTGCTTAGCGCCTCGCTGTTGCTGAGGCTGGCTTTGAACTCCTCCTGCCTCAGCCTCCCAGGTTACTGGGATTACAGGTGTGCACCACCGCACCCAGCTCCATAATGTTTTCCATAGTGGCTGCACTAGTTCACATTCCTACCAGCAGGACGTGATTGGAACTAGCAGTTCCAATTCTCCAGGTTCTCACCCACGTTATGCTCTACTTTGTTTGGACAGTGGTGTCCTCATGGGTGCGGGGTGCTTTTGTGGATATGACTTACATTTGAGAATCGCTTTACATGGTTGTTGGTCTCTATGGGAATATCTCTTCAGGTCCTCTATCCATTTTCTAATTAGATTACATTTTTGGTTTAAGGTGTCTGAATTCTTTATATAAACTGGATATTAACCCTGATCGGATTAATGATTTGCACTGATTTTATCTCATCCCATTCACTCTATTATTTCCTTTGCTCCACCGAATTTTTGAGAATGAGGCAGCCTCATGTTTTAGTCAGCTTTTTCACTGCTGTGACTAAAGGATCTGACCAGAACAATTTTATTTTATTTTTTTAGTTTTTGTTTTCAGCGGACTCAACATCTTTGTTTGTACGTGGTGCTGAGGATCGAACCCAGGCTGCACACATGCCAGGCGAGTGCACTACCGCTTGAGCCACATCCCCAGCCCCCCATTTAAGTTAATTTTTAAAGTTATTTTTTGCATTTAGGGGATGGGAAGGGTCTAACTTCATCACTCTGAATGTGAATATCCAGCCTCACCACACGGTTTGTTGAAGAGGCTTTCCTCTCCCCTCTGGGTGGTTTCCCAGCATTGTGAAGGTCAGGAAGGTCATTCAACCATAAACAGGGACATTTACTTCTGGAATCTCTATTCCGTTCCTTTGGTTTCTGTGTCTGTCCTTATGCCAACCCAATCACACCGTCTTGAGCTCTCAATATGTTCTGAAGTCAGGAAGTGCGAGGGCTCCAGCTTTGTTCTTTTTCAAGATTATTTTGGGAATTTAGCGGGATGGGGACTCCCTTCAGATTCCATATGAATTTTGAGATAGTTTTTTTTCCCTACTTTTGCAAAAAAATACCATTGGAATTTTGATAAGGATTTCATTAGATATGTAGATTACTTTGGGAAGTCTTGATATTTTAACAATATTAAGTTTTCTGATTCATGAGCACAGAGGAGGCTTTCCGTTTATGTCTTCAATTTCTTTCTGCAGAGTTTTATAGCTTTCTGGGTATAGACCTTTCCTCTCTGTGTTAGTCAGTTTTTCACTGCGGTGACGAAGGGACCCAACAAGAACTTAGAGCCTGGCATGGTGGCACACACCTGTAATCCCAGCGGCTCTGGAGGCTGAGACAGGAGGATCACAAGTTCAAAGCCAGCCTCAGCAATGGTGAGGCACTAAGCAAGCAAGTCAGTGGGACCCTGTCTTTAAATAAAATGCAAAATAGGGCTGGAGATGTGGCTCAGTGGTTGAGGTTTGTGGGGCTCAGTTCACCGTTGGCTGCTTCCATCACTGTAAGCTCTAGGTGAGGTCCAGCGTCATGGCGGAAGGCCATGGCAGAGGGAAACTGCTCAGCTCCTAGCAGCCAGGGAGCAGAGAAGTGGAGGTGCAGGGAGATGCCCCCCTCCAGGGCATGCCCAGTGACCCACCTCCTTCACCGTGCCCACCTGCCTACGGTTACCACTTAGTGCGTTCAAGCTAGGACGGACTGATTAGTCACAGTTCTTACAACCTGATCATTTTCCCTCTGACTATTTCTGATTAACACGGGAAATTTTGGGGGACACCTCATATCCAAACCATAACTTCTGCTGCTGGTCCCCAAAGCTCATGCTCATCCCTCAGTGTAAAATGAAGTTGGTCATCTGCAAAGTCTCAAGAGTTCCAGCACTGCCCCGGAGTCCAAGTCCAAAGTCCCACAGGAGACTTGAAAACGCGGAGCTGTGAGTCCCTGAGACCAATACAGAATGCAGAGGGTAAACACCTCCTTCCAAAGAGTAGAAATAGAGGCACAGACAAAAGGGATGGGACCACAGCCAGACCTAAACACAGCTGGGCAGACATTTCCTGTAGAGCCACATCCAGCGGCTGTGGCACATGGTGGCAGGAAGTGATCTCCAGAGGGCTCCAGCAGTCCTGCCCTTTGGCCTTGCTAGCGCGGGACCCCTTGCCTCTCTCCGCCTGGTGCTCTCTGCAGCCAGCAGTTCTCTTCAGGGCATCTCTTCATTCCTGGGGTCTTCACCCAGCTTTAGCTTTGCCTTCTTAGACTCACACGTTGCCTCCCAAGGGACGACCGCGAGGCTCTGACCCTGCTGCACTTTGCCTGGCCCCAGGCCTTCCTCTGAAGTGTCAGTAGAAGCCTCCAAGACCACCTAACCTCAGCACCCTGAAGAACCTACCCACAGCTCCAGCAGGAGACAGGCCTCCCAGGACCTCAGCTATGATGGCCTCTGAGTTCCTAGCAGGTGAGCCCAATGGACAAAGTCCTGGGAAACAACTCTGGACATCCCTGTGCAAACGGGGCACCTTCATGGTTTTTCGTTTCTTTTTGGTACAGGGTTGTACTCAGGGATGCTTAACCACTGAATCACATCCCCAGCCCTTTTTATTTTGAGACAGGATCTTGCTCAGTTGCTTAGGGCCTCACTAAGTTGCTGAGGTTGACTTTGAACTTGCGATCCTCCTGCCTCAGCCTCCCAAGACGCTGGGATTACAGGTGCGTGCCACCATGCCTGTCCTGAGTCTTATTTTTTTTTTTTAATATTTATTTTTTTAGTATTTGGCGGACACAACATCTTTGTCTGTATGTGGTGCTGAGGATCGAACCCGGGCCGCACGCATGCCAGGCGAGCGCGCTACCGCTTGAGCCACATCCCCAGCCCCAGTGAGTCTTATTTTTTAATTGTTCCTTTGTGTTGTTACATTAAGCCCTTCTTTACCACGTTGGATGCCTTAAACACTACCTGGAATAATAGTGCCACTCTTGCTTTCTTCTTAAATTTTAATTTGCCTGGTATCTCTCTGTTCATTCCTTTATCTTCAGCTGCTATTTCTCTTCTTTTTATAGATGTTTCTTATTAAACAACAAGGAAGAATTTGTTCTGTTCGCATTTAGTGTGGTACACTCGATTTTCCCCTTTCATCCTGTGCCATGTTCATTATTTATTGCAACTTACTTCCTCTCTGCTTTTCCTTTCTGGAGGGGTGTTCACAGTGGAGGTCGCCGAGGCAGAGGTTCTGGGTGGTGTCCTGTGTCCAGGTGTGGGCAGTGGAACCTCGTGCCAGAGGAAACTGTGCTGTCTTCAGACCAGCTTTGCAACAGAGCTTTAGGCTCCTTCCTGACTTTGCAGCCTTGGAATGTCATCTTCTGTCTTCTGGATTCTCACTGAGCCACCCAGCATCTTTTTTTTTTGGGGGGGGGTATACTGGGGATTGAACTCAGGGGCACCTGACCACTGAGCCACATCCCCAGCCCTATTTTATATTTTATTTAGAAACAGGGTCTCACTGAGCTGCTTAGCACCTCGCTATTGCTGAGGCTGGCTTTGAACTTACGATGCTCCTGCCTCAGCCTCCCTCCCGAGCTGCTGGGATCTTTGGTGTGTACCAGTGCACCCGTCTCAACCAACATCTTTTTAACTAAATTTTTGTTTTGTTTTCTTTTAATTGGCTGGAGTTGCTGCTTGTTGCTCTAACTAAGAAGCCTGAATAATGCAATTCCAAAATGGTTTGGCTTTCATTTTTTAAAATCAACTCTACCGAGCGCCTACCTGTGCTCAATAGTCCTCATCTACTCATTTAGACACGTGATTAGAGCCTGAGAAGGGACAGAGGATACTTGGACCACAAAATGACCCAACTATCCCACACTTTTCAGGGAATTCTCCAAACATTTCCCCACTGGTGATGGAGAACAGATATAGCCCCATTCCCTCCTTAAAAAATAACCCAGTTTTTACAGACTTTAAAATGACCTTGAGTATTTTAATCATAAAATTAGATACCCACTTATAACACAAATACATGAAGGGGGAAAGCGAGGCCTTCTGGACTTGTGGGGTGTGGTACTTCCTCCCAAAGGCCACCAGCGCGGGGTCCGCCATGCTCTCTGCTCTCGGAGTCCCTTCTTATTGCAGAGGGTGATGCGGGCGGGTCAAAGCTGCAGGTTTCTGAAGTTAGCTGTAAGATCCTCCAGAGTCAGGACTGCTGAGACAGAAGAAATCGGGATGTGCCGGTGGGTGAGAAGCGCCCGTGAGGAAGAGGAGCACGGAGGTGACTGTGCTCCAGGGAAGAGGGACAAGGCCACCAGGGGCCTTGAGAGGCACAGAGAGGGGGCCGCAGAGAGGGGGCCGGAGCATCTGAGAAAAGGGAGACCAGGAAGACCTGGGAGAGGGTGTCTAGAGAAAAGAGAGACATGGGGGCTGTAGGGAGAGAGGAGGAGGAGGAGAGTACCTGAGCAGCATGGGTGGGGACAGGAGGTGGCACAGGTGGCAGTGACAGGTGTCAACCCCAGGATGCGATCGAGGCGATTTTGTATGCTTTGGCTGCGTTGCTCCAGCCTGTCCCAGAGCTCAGGCTCAAAGGGACATCCCCCGTGGTTCACAAACTTGACCCAGCAGTGGGTGAACTCTGAAATGTAGTGGGGAGCCGCAGCCTGGGGACAGGTCCCTTCCTGCCCCACCCTCCGCTCCTGGGCATCTCCTGTCCCCAGGATCCTCCTTCCAGGAGGTGTCAAATCTTGGGCTTTGCAGGGGCTTCCTTCCTGCCCAGTCCCTCTTCTGTCCACCTGCCCTGCCCCTGTGGCTGTCCCCTGTTCCTGTGGACACGCCCCTGACACTCCCCTGTCCACTGACAGCCGGGTCCCTCCTTCCTACCTCGGAGACTCATGACCCAGATCTGAACCCCGGATCTCCACAGGAGCCGCAGCCCTTCCTGAAATCTCCAGAGCCAGTGGAAGTAGAGGCGGGAGGTGAAGAGCCTCAGCCGCACGTGGGGGTGGCTTCGTGTGAGCTCCACCAGCTCCTGGGCGCAGTTGGGGCAGGGGCTCCAGGTGAGGTAGCAGGTGACTTCGTAGTTCTGGCTCCGGTCCAGGTCCAAGGAACGGATCTTCTTTATGAAGCGAATCTCTGCGTGGCGATCCTTCTGGGGGGGGACCCCAGCAGAGAGAAGGAGGGTTAGATGTCACATGACTGGGGCCGGGATGGGGCTGTGACTTGTCAACCTTCTAGTGTGGAGGCTTGTCCAGCATAGTCATGTCCCCCCTTCCACTCACCCACAAACCCAACACCCCAAGTCCCACGAGGTTCCCCGGGCCCCGAGGGGAGGGGTCAGCAGACAGACCCCACCCCCAGAGGACAGTCACACCTCTCCTTGGGACTCTTGCTCTAGAGAGACCAAAGGACACTGTGTTTCAGCCCAGGAGCCTCAGGAGCAGGTGGGAGGGGAAGCGCCCAAGGCAGGTGGGCCACCAAGGAGCCTGGCGGAGCTCGGCCCTTGGGCAAGGACTCTGCTTCCTCCAGAGCAGCGTGAGCTGAGATGGGGCAGCCCAAGCGCATTCTCCTGGAGGGAAGGAAGAACGCTCTGGGGTACAGGCCTCTGGCAAGTCCAGGGCTGGGACCCTGGGAGTTCAAGGGCAGTTCAGGACCATACCCCAGGCTCCAGGCTCCTGGGAGGCAACTTTCCCTGCCCCCTGAGCCCGAGCCCCTGCCTGGCACCTTGTTTTGAAAGTAGTCCTGGTCACACGGGGAGCCCTTGAGCTGCAGCTGGTAGCACAGGTAGGTCTTCCGGCGGCAGTAGGGCCTGGGCGCCCGGTGCTGGTTGTTAAACTGCTGGTGGAACGTTTCTTTCTTTAGCAGCTTCATGACCCTCCATGTGACAAGGAGGCACCAGGAGCCGGGAGCTTCCTCTGGAGTCACCTGCGCTGGGCTCAGATGGCCTCTGCCTTCAGGAGTCAACTCCGTGGTGCCTGGGTCCCTGAGGGAGATGACAGAGGAGCAGGGAGGGAAGGAGCAGGGCCACCAGGGGCTGTGGCAGTGGGTGGCCTCTCCCTCTGACCGTGCCCAGTGCCCCCCCTCCACTCTCACTGTCCAGCCTTGAGACCGTCCTCTGGGGCCACCCCATCCCTGCCACCTTTCTGCCTGGGCCGGGTGGGGCATCCCTCCTAACTGGGATCTGTGTCACACACCTTTGTCTGGGTGTCACGAGCAGCTTCTCAGCCTTGTCTGGTTACCAGGAGTTCCCTTCCGGATATCTGCACTGGACCCCGGACCGCGACGTACGCGAACACCAAGCACGAACTCGATTGCCTTTTGAAATGCTGGTTTATTCGCACACCACACAAAGCAATACACGAGGTGGCTGGCACACAACTGCACGGTCTTACTCTCAGGCAACGAGAGTTAGTTGTGAGCAAATACATGGAGTTTCCCTCGCGCTTATATACTCTATATGTTTTACATTACATCATTCACTACTAACTTATCTAACATTGGCATACTACCTCTACCTTACATCATTTACTTATCATAGGCATACTGCCTACATTACATCATCTTCTTCAACTTATCTAACACGTACACACTATCTAGTCATCCTCCAGCCAGAGCATGTTTGTAACTAAAAATCACTCAGTCACTGCAAAGCCACTACAAAGTCCAAAACAAGTTCAAACAAGTTCTCCTGCTGCTTTATGCTGTTTATTCATCCTTGATGTCTACTCCTGTCACTGGGGCTCCCCCGCCTCCGAGTTTCCCAGGCCTCTGGACCCCGACCTTCCAAAGCCTGAACCCTCCTCTCTGGGAAGGGACTAGACCCTAGAAACCAGCCTTTCCTTTAACTCCGCGCTCTCGTCCTGTGTCACCAAGAACCCAGAGGCAAGGCCCAGATGAATGGTTGCTAAGGGACGGTCTGACCGAGGCTTTTAGTTGGAGGACGACTGACCACCGTTCTCTCTCTCTCCCGATTTAGAGGATTCGATTTTCTCCCTCACTTTTCCCCCCTTCTTGACACCATATTGCAAAGTGCCCTGGTGAGTGTGGGCAGGAGAGTCACCGGGTTCTGTGTGGGGGGCGGGAGTGGGTGGCACAGGAAGCAGGAGATAGGTTTTCTATAGGCAGATAGGAATGACATAGAAATGGGGACCCCCTCGGAGAATGGGGTCCTGCCATTCCAGATTAAAACCCAGGGCTAACAGTGCCCAGTGCCGGACTGGAAGGCCCCCCTCAGGTGCCCTGCTTCCTGGGGCTGCCCCGGCTTCCTTATGACCCTAACACTAGTCAACCCAGAGGGCTGCTTTGAAGCCAAGCAGTTGTATTGTTTTAAGGAACAAGTACAGGAGAAACTCAGGGTGTCAAACACACTAACCATCCCATCAGGGAATAAGAGATTAAAACCATACACCCTCAACGGAGTCAGAGACCGGTCGGGGGAACCTGCCAGGGAGAGGTTCATTCCCCAGCAAAAGAGCATAGAAAACCCTCCAGACCGAGAGCCACCAACAGGGCCCTCTCTGGTCTCCTCTCTTGCTCTGGGAGCTTCCCTTGCTGGCTTCTAATAAATCTGCTACTGAATTCTCACCCTCTGCCACCTGTGCACTTTATTCTTTGGGTGCATGACGCAAGAACCCTCCAGAGCTCACAGACCCTGGGTTACACTGGGGATCAAACCCAGCGCCACAAGAGTCCTTCCACTGAACCGCAGCCCTCCTGGATTCTCTCTGGTATGTGGGTAGAAGTGGGAGCCTGGCTCCCCACCACTGCGAGGCCACTGAAGGGGTGCTTGGGCCAGAGCCCCACATCACGAGGGCATCATGATTAAGCGGATGTCCGTCTTGCCAGCTGCTCAGGAATCTCAAAGGACACTCAGCTCTGTCTTTCCAGACGTTCTGACATTTTCCTAGGCAAATGCAACTTGGCTGACCATCCAGTTGGGCTCAGGTGATCACGGACCCTCAGAAACCGTGTCTGCATCCAGAATTCAGGGTGCTGGTCCTTAAGGCACAGACCACAGGTGCCAATGACGTCCACTTCCTTGGCTGCCTGCCGGGCCAGCACTCTTCTCCTTGGGTATTTCCTGCAATCTCAAGAAGACACTGCTTCCTGCACCAGCGACCAAACCCCTGCTAGCATCTGGGATGCTAATTAACAATGCCACTGATGTCATCAGCGGAAACCTGGTTTTGACACCTCTTATGCCCATTAGGAAGGCTTCGGTGGATTCAGATGAAGAGCTGGGCTGTGGCCTTGGATAAGTGGCCAGTCTGCCCCACATCAGGTGACGGGCGACGTGCGGCCTCTCCGTCACCAGCCGGATCACAGCCTGTGCTTCCCTGTGGTCTGGGACTTTCCACCTTGGCCCCCAGCTCCCGCGCTCCGGGAACCCTCCAGCCTGCCCGCTCAAGGCTCGAGTATTTGGACACAATTTTAGACAGTCACATTCTTAACAGCAAATCAAGAGCCTTGACCTTGAAGAGCTAAAAGAACAGGTTTGCCAGAAGCAAACTAGAATTGATTTTAAGAGCCATTTGCCTCTCCTCTTCCAGTGGCCCCATCTTCCTTCTGGGAAACCATGGCGCTTCCGGTCTTGGTCGGGGGTTTCGTCCACACAGCTCCATGGCAAAACGGGGTCAGTCTGTCCAGTAAAGCTCACAAAGGTGCTCCGTAGCTGCCTCCAAGTTTCGCTCCATCATTCTGCCACCGAGAATGAGCTGGAGAAAGGACTTTGAGAAGGCCCTGGCGGGCGGACAGAGGGCTGTGCTGGGCCCAGGAAGCACAGGAAGTGGGGGAGCCTCAGGGGCGCTTCTAGTCCCAGGCTCCAGGGGCAGAGAACTGGGTGCTCCGGTTCCAGTTCCTCTCCTAAGGCCTTGGGAAAGTCCCTGCCTGGGAGTGTCCTCCTACACACCGCCTTCCCGCGGGCACCAGGCGACAGGGCCCTGGGGTGCTTTCCCTCCCCCCTGCCCACCTCTCCCCTCTCAGGGCCCCTCACCTCCTGATCCGTGGAGTGTCCCCGCAGCCCCCAGGACAGGCTTGTCCCAGGTAGCTCGGCTGTCACCTCCGACACTGGGCTCACTTTCCCTGTTAAGGGGCCCTGGCTTTGGAAGCCCCCGATGGATCTGGTCAGGAGTGACCTCCCAGGGCCATCTGGGTGCCAGCCCCACCTCTTCCTGGTTGGTGGGAGGGCCTAGGGTGGTTAGCTTCCTCAGGCTCAGACACCGTCTCTGCCCCCGCTGCCCTGTGGTGAAGAGAGGCCTTTGTGAGAGGAGCCAGGGTTGCAAAGGGAAAGAGAAAGTGGTCCCCAGAGGGGCAGGGGGCAGACGCCCCTCCCTGGGGGCAGGGCAGTCTGGGTCCAGACCTGGCCCAGCACAGTCCCTGGTTGGCACATCCGTCTTGTGGCCCCTTCAGCTTCCCAGCAGGACTCTGTACTTGTGTTGTAGGGACAGAGGAGGCAGGGCACCGAAGACAGCAGGAAACAGTTTTATTTGGCTGCAGCCAGCTTCAGAGGGCACAGCTTTTGCTGTAATCAGTCAAGCCCCTGAACCCCGAGTTCAGGGAGTTTCAGAGTTTTATCCCCAGCGTGTAAGGGGAGGGGCTCAGAAGCTCACAGTCTGCAGAAGTTCACATAAAAGCAGCTTTTTCTCTCCCTGTTCTGGGCTAGTTAACCCTTCGAGGACAACACCTGAGAAGGGGGGAGCTTCTCCTCCCCTCTCTTTCCTCCCCTGCCAGCTGTCACCATGGAGCCCAGTTGTAACTTATCTTAACAATGTAGACAGCTCTGTGAAGCCCAGCTCAAGGCCAGAGGCCTGGTTTGCACATTTCTTCAAAGTACTATACTGGATACATGTTTATGAAAACTAGTCAGGGAGTGTCCAGCACCTGGAGTGCTGGTATCTTCTCAGCCAGTGGCCAAGTAAACAGGGTGATGCCAAAATAGGAAGTTTATCTACACTGGACTCTTTCGCAGGGATTCTTTTGCTGACAGTCCTAAAATCAGCCATGGTGAAGAGGGCTTTTCTGTGGAGCAAGGGGTTGCCCACTTCACTTGATGCCGACAGGGTGGGAGGCTGGGATACAGGGTTTCATCTCCTGCCCCAAAGAAGGCAGGTGTGGACAGATCCTGGGCCATGTCCTCTACCCCAGCCCTTGGAGGAGGTCTTAAGTAAGCACAGAAAGGCTTAGATGCCCTCTTGAGATCACACAGCAAACAGCAGAGTGGAGTGCGGGCCAGGTCTTCCGGGCTGCTGCTGCCCTCCCCCCCGCCCCCCCCCACAAGTAGCTGCAAGCAACTCGTCTCTGGGAATTGAGGTTTCCAGGAGAGGAGTGGGGGAGTGGCACAAAGGGAGGGCAGCTGCCACCCTGCAGGGATTCCCAGGCCCGGGATTGAAGGACCTGGACTTCAAGTGTGTGTTCTGGAAGCTCTGCCTGCTTGGCACACTGAGCCAGGATCCTCGGTAAGAAACAGCAAAATGGAACAAAAACAAAAAAACCCAAAACCAAGAGCATGTTGTGACAGCTGAGTCCTGAGCGAGGAGGGCCTGCTCCCCCCTCGCCACCTGCTCTTCTCACACCCCCTGCAGCCCCAGGCCACAGGAGCTTGGGTTTGAAGGGTCACAAGAACTGTGTCCCCTCCACCCTGTCCGTCCTCAGGTCCTGGGGCTGAGGCAGGAGCTCAGGGTAAGCTGGAGAGAGGTGGCAGGAAGCCCCACCCCCATCCTCCTTCAAGACAAAAAGGAAAGTCTCCAACCGGAGTCCCCGGGGACCCCAGAGCCTCATTTAAATACATCTACATGTTAAAAGACGGGGGTGGAGGGGCAGCAACAGCAAATGATCCTGACTGACCCTCTCTTTGTCAGCTGTGCTGACTTCTGTCCTGTGTGAGCTGAAGGGTCCCCTGAGCTGGTGACAGGATCACAGCCCGAGGAAGATTCCAGAATGAGCTGGGCCTTTCCAGAAAAAGAGATCACATCTGCACAATAGGGTGTTTGTCAGTGTCGGGCAGCTGGGCCGCCCCCTGATTTGATGCTGGACACGGGGACTCTGGCTGCGTGTCTTGGGAGGAAACTAGTCGGGCAGGAGAGCAAGTCCTGGGGGGCAGCTGTTCTCAGGGGAGAGGGCAGTTTCCTAGGGGGCGGAGGCTTGGGAATGGAGCTGTGTTTAGGCGCTTTTCCAAGGTGTGCTTTTCTTTCCCAAGAGAGCCCTTTAACTCTAAGGCAGGCAGAGGAAGGCGTGGTCAGAGGGTCACCTGGAGCCAAAGCTCTTTTTTTTTTTTTAAAAAAATATTTATTTATTTATTTTAGTTTTTGGCGGACACAACATCTTTGTTTGTATGTGGTGCTGAGGATCGAACCCGGGCCGCAGGCACACCAGGCGAGCGCGCTACCGCTTGAGCCACATCCCCAGCCCCCAAAGCTCTTTTTTTTTAAAAAAAAATATTTATTTTTAGTAGTAGTTGCTCACAATACTTTCATTTTATTCATCTTTAAGTGGTGCCAAGGATCAAACCCAGGGCCTCGCATGTGCTAGGCGAGCACTCCACCGCTGAGCCCCAGCCCCAGCCCCAAAGTTGTTTTTTATATTGATGCTGCATTCTGTATAAACATCTCTGTCCTGTGGTGAGGGTGAACTGCTGTCACTGTTCAGAGACCACATGGGGGCTGGAGGAGAACACAAGTTCAGGGGCCTGGGAACCAGCCACTGGGCATTGAACCCAGGGGGTCTCACTGAGTTGCTGAGGCTGGCTTTGAACTTGGCATCCTGAGCCACTGGGATTCCAGGTGCCCCCCACCCTTCCAGCAGTTTTGATTGTCCTGGGAGAGTCATGGCAAAAGCATCTGGCCATGCTGATGCCCTGGTCTCTGGTAAGGTCGTTGAAGTGGGTACGCAAAGCACACACCAAGCTTTTAACTCCTAAGAGTTAAGGAGACAAGAGGGGAAAATAAAACACAGACACCACCTTTTGATGGCTGTTGTCCAACCCCAGAGCTGCAAAGGCCCCAGTAGATTTTCTGATTCCAAAGAAAAAACCCGGGAGCGGGTCTAATATTTTATTATTTGTGCTCCTGGCAGCAGCCACTGGGATAGGACCGAGGGTGGCCCTGAGCCGAGAAGCAGGGGTATCTGCAGGAAGGGTGGCCTGCCCACTGCACCGGGGCTTTCTTCAGATGTTTTAGGGGTATACAATTTACTTTGCGGCCAAGGTCTTTCTGTTTTGATCCCCACCTGAAGATTGGAGGTAGGGGAAGGCTGCCTCCGGCATTCTTGGGTGGCTCTGGGTTCCCCTTCAGGAATCTCAAGCCTGACTGGAGTCTACCCTGCAGCCACCAGGCCAGGCGTGAAGGGCCAGCAGTGCACTGGCCCTTGGTCCCCACACTGGTCTCTAACCACCTCAGGCTGAGGAGTGGGCTGGAAGGAAAAGAAGTGGAGCCTGCCACCCATGTGCAGTGGGACACACCTGTAATCCCAGCAGCTTGGGAGGCTGAGGCAGGAGGATCCCAAGTTCAAAGCCAGCCTCAGCAAAAGCAAGGCACTAAGCAACTCAGTAAGACCCTGTCTCTAAATAAAATACAAAATAGGGCTGGGGGTGTAGCTCAGGGGTTGAGAGTCCCTGAGTTCAATTACCCCAGACCAAAAACAAAGGAGTGGGGTGGGGAGGCCTTCTCTGGCCTTTCCCTTGAGAACATTCTTACTTATCTGAGGGGCCATGCTGGGTTGGAGCAGGCCACCTGAGGCCTGTGGGTCTCCGAGAACGGCCTCTATCTAGCTCTTTTTCTCCAGGAGCATGAGACAGCCTGGCCTGGGCCTGTGGTGATCAAGGAGCATGTGACCTGATGGGTGCCCCTCTGTGCCTCCCTGCTTGGAGCAAATTTGGAAGGAGGACATCTTCAAGTCAGACATGCGAAGCAGCCAGGCAGTACCACCGATGATTCTGCCCTCAGGGGCCCCGCCCAGGGAGCCTGGCAGCATGGGAGGAAAGACCACGTAGGTGGGGATACAGTGGGGAGTGGCCGCAGTGGCCATTTCAAGCCAGGGAGAGCTCAGAAGGAGGCTGGCTTATCTTGGGCTTCCAGCCTCCAAAACAGTGAGAGTGCAAATTCTGGGGCTAAGTAGCTGGTTGACGGCTTCTTATTATCCAGAAATCAAGTCAGCCTTGAAGGGGGTCCGTCCCACCTGGCGGTTTTCACGCTCGCCCACTAATCCATTTACATTCAGCCCAAGAACCACATTCAGTGACTGTTGTTGCGACCATCAGGGACAAAAGGACAGAGCAGTTCCCTGGCCTTACTCCACCCTTCCGGTCCCACTAACATCCCCCCACCCCCATTGATGCCACCAAGATGCCTCCATGATTTTCCACAGGGAAGAAATTCCTAAGAATGTTTACCACACTCACGGCCCGTGGGATAGCAGCCCCCAGGCCACCGGGGCTCTCCACCCGAGGGCTGTCCCTTCCTTTGCTCGGGAACCAGCCTGAGTTTTCTCTCCATCAATGTTGTTCCTTCTGGAGCTGAAGCCCCTCTCCTTTTCCCAGTTAGAGCCTGGCCTGCTCTCTCTCTTTTACTTTCTTTTATTTATTTTTTTATACCACGAATTAAACCCAGAGGCACTTGACCTCGAAGCCACATCCCCACCCTTTTATTTTATTTTTTAAAATTTTTATTTTTTGACAGAGCCCTGCTAAATTGCTGAGGATGCCTTTGAACTCTCAATCCTCCTACCTCAGCCTCTACCTCAGAGTCGCTGGGATTACAGGCGTGCCCCACTGCACCTGGCCAGACCAGGCCTGGTTTCATTTTCATTGTCACTGAGTCAGAAGTTCCTGTGGCAGGTACCATCCTGATGGGGGAGGGGCCCTGCGGATGCAGGAGGGTGCTCTTGAGAAAGCAGGCAGGAGGTGGGAGCCATCCAGGCAGCCCCAGAGGGGAGGGCCAGAGGAGGCCGGGGAAACAGCCATGGAAGTAGCACAAGGAAGCTCCTCATGGGAGAATCTTCTGCAGCTTCTTGACCTGGAAGTGGTAATTTCTAATCAGGTTCTTCCAAGGCCGGAATGGCCGTCCGTCGTAGGGGTACACAAAGTTCTCCCAACAGTGCTCAAACTCTGTGAGGGAGGAGAGGAGGGGAAGTCAGAGCCCTGCAGCCTGCTCCCCACCCCCAGGCTGCCCCAGCACCAGCTCCCTGTGTCCCCTCCCACTGCTTTGGAGACCTGGCCTGGCCTGACCCTCATCCTGGTTCCTCGGGCCACCTTGACCCTCTGCTCCTCACCTCTGAGGGACATGATTTCCACCCTGGCTCCTTCCCGCTGCAGGGCGCGAAGCCCCTCTTGGTATGAGTGATTCCAGAAGTAATAGAGGCGGGCGGCGTAGATGGTCAAGCTCAAGTTGGAGTGGCTGGCCAGGAAGGCGGCCACCTGCTGTGCACAGTCAGAGCAGGGACTCCAGGAGATGAACCAGGTGATCTGTAAGTGCTGGTCGGGGAACTGCAGGGGGTAGTCGTGCAGCCAGTAGAGGAAGCACAGCTCGGCATGCAGGCGGGTCTCCAGGAAGACCTGGGGGTGGGGGAGGCGGAAGCCCCGGTGGAGGGTGGCCGGGCGGGGGCTGTGGCAATTCATCCATTCTCTCCGTCGCTCCCTTCTCCCCTTTTGAATCCATTCACTCTCCCAGCTCCCAGGTGGCCCTGGGCCAGCATGCCTAGCCCTGCTCTGGCCAGGTCGGGGGAGGGCACCAAGCTGCACCACCCCACGGGGAGGAGCCACTGGCCACAGGTGCCTACCAAGCACTTGTGACTCATCTGAATTTGAGACCCTGGGCCCTGCATAAAACACACAGCTCATTGCAAAAAAGAAAAAAGAACATCATCCTGGGAAGAGTTTTATAGGTTGAAATGCTGTTAGGCATATTGGACTAAATGAATTCCGCCCATTCCTGACCACTTGGTGGACTGTGGGCACTGGAAGAGTTTAAATGAGAGACATGATCCATTCGCCTTCCATTGGGTAGCTGTGCTGCAGAGCAGGCCTGCCCACCCCAAAGGGCTCCCTGCCCTCCAAACGCTTGGGACAGCTGAGCACGGGTGGCAGACGGGCAGGCGGGCAGGTGTGTGGAGGGGATGTGACTGCTCTGTGTAGGGGCTGCAGGGGTGGCACTGGATCTAGCAATGGCCGGTTCTGGTCATGGCTGCCGTGAGGGGGCCCAGGGAGGCCCTTGCGCCTGGACTCTGAGCGGGCTGGGGGCAGGCAGGGGCAGGCACAGCGCCCTGTGTGTGGTAACAGGTCCTCTCTGTGCAGGGGTCAGGGGTGTGGCGGAGCAGGCTCGGCAGCCCCACAGACATGAGGGCCAGATAAGACGCTGGGGAGCTGGGGTTGGGGCTCAGAGAAACAGCGCTAGCATGCGCGAGGCCCTGGTTCCATCCTCAGCACCACATAAATAAATAAAATAAAGGTATTGTGTCCACCTACAATTAAAAAATAAATGTTAAAAAAAAAGACTCTGGGGGCTCAGGGCCCCAACCTGCTAGATGTCCTTTCCTCAGGACTGTTAGACACACGGAGCCTCAGGACAAGGTTTGCCTGTAGACTTCTGAAGAAGGCCTCTGGGGGAGTCAGATGCCATTGTGTATCAGGTCACAGGATGGGAGTCCCAACATCTGGCTTTTTACTGATCTTTTCTGCGTTCTCAACTGGAGTGGCTCCTGTCTACCATGTGAGAGGAGTCTGGCGGATACCTGGGTTTTAAAGACCCCTCTGTGAATGGGGACAGTTGAGTCACGCTCCTCTCTATCCACCTGGTAGCACAGGAAGGTGTTGTTCCGGCCCAGGGCCCAGCGAAGATTCCGGAAGTGGAAGAGGAATGTCTTTCGATATAAACGACTTATCTTGTTTCTGGAGGCAAGAAAGGAGACACCCAGCGAACCCCAAGTTGCTCTAAGCTGCTGTTCACTGAGCCGGCTCCCTGGGTCCCCCTAGGTGCTCCCCAATCCTCTGCAGCTCTGAGAACTTCCGCCATGGAGGGCCTGTTGGACCCACCCAGGGTCCCAGCTCTGATCCTTCCAGTGGGGCGCCCCCCCACCCTGCCCACTCAACCCCCAACCCAAAAGAAAAAGACCAAACCCCCTCACCCCAAATATGAGCTTTGAACATCTCGCCTCCTCCTCCGTTCATTCCTGACTCACACTGTGCATGCTGGTTTTTTTTTTTTTAATCAGGGTACCACCTGAGGTCTCGGGCACAAGCTACTGTTCTGCACATTTCTCCTCATCTTTCATTCTTGTGTCCTCCTGTCATCTGGGTGGTCCAGCTCTAAGAGGTCTCATCTCTGCGGTTGTGGGTGTGCTTGGGGACCCTGGGCAGTCCCTCTTGGGCTCAGTGGAGGTGACTCCTTCAGTCTCAGAGCTCCCTCCTCCCCCTCCCTCTCCTAAGACTTCAGGCTGACAGCCGCACAGAGAATAGACACTCCTCAAAGGGCTTAGAACACGACTGCGGGTTCCTTCAGTCAGAGTTTGCATTGGGTTCTGATTGATAACAAGACTGGCAAACCATGGAGCCAGGCTGCCCGCACGGGGCAGGAGGGGCAGCCAGGGGGCACTTTCAGACAGCTGCAAAGAAACGGCCACGGGGCTGGGGGAGGGGGAGGAGGGTGGCACCTTCAGAAGCTGCCATGGGCCCCCTCCAAACCGGCAAAGACCCTCGGGGGTGCTGTGGAGGAGCCTGGAGAGAGAGAACCCAGGCCTGGGTGGGGGAGAGACCAGGAGAGAAGCACTATGGGGCGGGGGGACCCCAGGACAGGAGGTGCTGCAGACGGAGCCGGTGGGCAGAAGGGCCAGCGGTACCTGATGTCTGGGGCTGGGTTGTGGCATCCTGGGCAGGCCCCGGGTCTCCGGTTCTGGGGCTCCATTTCCTGATTCCAGGGCCTTTGCCTTGGAAGCCCCCTGATCGATCTGTGAGTGACCTCCAGGGCCATCTGAGTGCCGGCCCCACCTTCTTCCTGGTTTGGCACCGGAATGGGAGGGCCTAGGGTGGGTTTTCTGCCTCAGGCTCAGACACCTTCTCTCCCTCCCTCTGCCCCCCCCCCCCCCCCCCCGCTGGGCAGAGCAGGACACCGCCCCTTGATGAAGACAGGCCCCTCGGAGCCGCAGGACCACAGGAAGCGCAAAGGGAAAGAGAAAGTAACTGATCCCAGAGCGGGAGGAGGGCGTGGGCCCTGGAGAGGGGGCAGGGCAGACGCCCCCCCTGCAGGCTGGACAGTCTGGGTCTCTCTCATCCGGGTCCAGAGCCCAGCACTGTACCTGCCTGGGGAATGGAGGGTGATGGGCAGGGACAGTGTGAATTCCAGACAGGGGCTCCTGTGTCCGGTCCTTGCACAGGAGCAGGGAAGGGCAGACACAGATTGGGTTCCTGATTCTGTGCTTGGATCTTCCCATCTGTCTCCTCATCCAACTTTCCAGCCAGTAACCCCAATGGGACCGATGGGCACAAAGACTCCAAGCTGGTGATTGACAGCTCAGGATCAGGTAGCTACAGGTGGCAGAGCTGGAATTGGCGATCTCATGCTGTGGGCTTTCTCCACAGTCCAGGCTGCTTCTCCCTGCAAAATCAGAGACAGTAGTCTTGCCACCTCTCAAGGGTGGAGGTATGAGCCAACAAATGCCACACAAACACAGGAGCATACAATACACACAGCTTTCTTTCTAATTGTTTAAGTCCATCCACAGATAAAACCTAGAGTGCTTAACCACTGAGCCACATCCCCAGGCCTTTTTATTTATTTTTGAGACAGGGTCTCTAAATTGCTTAGGGCCTCGCTAAATTGCTGAGGCTGGCTTTGAACTTGAGATCCTCCTGCCTCAGCTTCCTGAGCACTGGGATTAAAGGCATGCACCATCTTTCCCAGCCTAAAACCTAGAATTCTTTGGAGGAATCAAGGTCTATTGTGTCCTCCAAATAATCATTCTGAATATCATGTCCTTCAACTGGATTTTGTCCCAGATGAAGGTGTGCTCTGTGCCAGGCCCTGGGCTCCTCTGAAGGCAGAACCCATTGGGAAGGCTGATGAACGGCTGTTAGGATGTGCCACAGCGCCCTCTCCTGGCGGAAGGCGATCCTACCTCTCCACAAGGTAGAACTTAGGGTTGAACTTTCAAGGTGGGTTTCTGTTGCCTTGGAGAACAAACGGGCACAGGATAAGGACATCAGTAGAAAATACATACTTCCACTGATCAGAAGCAGACACATTTTATAAGAAAATGAAGTGAAGAACACAGACCCAGGAGTCATCCCTGAACCCAGCTGTGGGTGACAGGGAGGTACTGTGGTGGAGGCACCAGCTTTATAGCCAGGCACATCCTAACTCTGCCCCTTCCTTACCGTGTGGCCTTGGGTGACTTACTGAATGTCTTTGAATCTCTAATATCCTTCATCTTTAAAAGGCCATAAATAATATGCATCTTATAGTTATTGGGAAAGTCAAATGTGATTGGTTTATGTAAAGAATTTAGCAAAGCACCTAGAATGTTAAAAGAACGGAAGACCTAACAGTTATGATCCAGCTGGGGGTTGAACCAGGGGATCTCCCCCATGCTATACATGTGCTCTACCCCCAAGATATATCTCCAGCCCCGTTAGTTTTTGTTTCGTTTCTTGGTGGTGCTGGGGATCGAACCCAGGGCCTTGTGCATGCAAGGCAAACACTCTACCGACTGAGCTATATCTCCAGCCCCTATTAATTTGTTCTTTAAAAACATTTTCCACTATCAGGGTGCAGTGACCCATGCCTGTAATCCCAGTAGCTCAGGAGGCTGAGGCAGGAGGATCTTGAGTTCAAAGCCAGCCTTAGCAACTTAGCAAGGCCCTAAGCAACTTAGTGAGACCCTGTCTCAAAATAAAAAGTGAAAAAAGGCTGAGGATGTGGCTCAGTGATTAAGCACACTTGGGTTCGATCCTCAGTACCAAAACCAAAAAACAAACAAACAAACAAAAAAAAAAAAACAAGTGCCTCACCTTAGACCTCACTAGAATACAAGAATACAAATAAAAAAATAGAATACCTTATTAAAAAAAACACAAATTTCCCACTGGACTTGGGGATGCATGTCTGTAATCCTAGTGACTCAGGAGGCTGGGGCAGGAGAATCCCAAGTTCCAGGTTAACCTCAGCAACTTAGCAAGACCCTCAGTAACTTTGACCCTGTCTTAGAATAAAACACAAAAAGGGCTGGAGATGTACTTTAGTGGTAGTGCACCTGGGTTCAATCCCCAGCCCAAGAAAGGAAAATAATTTGTGTATGTAGTTTCATTTCTAGGATATGATATATATATATATATGAAAAACATGAACACATATATCCATAAGTGACCGTTTGTGATAGTTCCATTCAAAGTGTTGTACGGGTCGTGTCAATAATTTGCTTCTTTTTAGTACAGAATAGTATTTATGGCATGGATATGCTGTTTTGTTTTTGTTTTTTGGAGGGGGTTCTGGACATTTAACCCAGAGGCATGTTACCACAGAGACAGAGCCAGCCCTTTATTTTATTTTGAGACACAGTCTCTCTAAGTTGCTCAGGGCCTCGCTAAGTTGCTGAGGCTGACCTTGAAATTGTGATCCTCCTGCTTCAGCCTCCCCATTGCTGGGATTATAGGTGTGTGCCACCAGGCTAGGCCTTGAGTATAGGTTTTTGTGTGAAGATGAATTTGCATTTTCTGTGATAAGTGCCCAAGAGTGTAATTGCTGGGCTTTACGTTTAGTGTGTGTTTAGCTTTATAAGACACCATGGAAATATTTTCTAGAATAAATGTACCATTTTATATTCTCACCAGCAATGTATGGTTGATCCAATTTCCTCACCTCCTTCCCAGCATGTGACCCTGTCACTGTTTTTCTATTTGAAACCTCTGGTGGGTTTGCAGTGACACTGTGGTTTCAACGTTCATCTCCCCATGGCTAAGGAACTTGACCGTCTCTTTCTTTCTTCCTTCCCTCCTTTCTTTCTTCCACTCCTTCCTCATTCACTTCTTCCTCCCTCCCTTCCTCTCTTTCTCTCTTTCGTTTCTGTACCAGGGGTTGAACCCATGAGCACTTCATCACATCCCCAGCCCTTCTATACTTTATTTTGAGACAGGGCCTCACTAACTGTTGAGGCTGCTTTGAACTTGCAATCCTCTTGCCTCAGCCTCCTGAGCCTCTGAGATCACAGCTGTGTCACACACACACACACACACACACACACACAGTGATTTCTATCAAACTCACAGACATAACAGGCTCCACTGTGCACATGATTCTTCAGCTTTAAGAAGAGACTCGGAGACGGTGACACGATGCATTTGGTGGCGCAGAGCCGGGCCTCACGATTCCTCTGTGCAGCTTCCCAGCCCCTTGCCACTCACCTGAACTCTGAGGTTGGGGGTGTGGGCCTCCCCAGCCCTGGGGACCTTCAGATTTGATTCCCGGCAAGTCAGGTGGCCCGTCAGTGGCTCCTGGGCTGCTCATCAATGACCGTCACTAATTAGTTATAATTTTTTTTTGGTGGTGGTGCTGGGGATCGAGCCCAGGGCCTTGTGCATGCGAGGCCAGCCCTCTACCAACTGACCCCAGCCCCTAGATTTTTTTTTTTCATGTATTCTGTTTCTGCCCTTGTTAGGGTCAAGGTGGTGCTGGTTCTGCAAGGATCTGGGAAGCCTTCGTCATTTTCTTTCCTCTGGAGTAATTTCTGCATCCTGTACATTGACACTGAGTCTGAGGCCTGAGGCTGCATGGCGGTTGGTCACCTGCTTAACGTACTCTCTAAGGATGAGTCTGAGAATGGTCTTCCCCACGCAGGGTCAGCGTCGGTGGCTCCCGGTTCCTTGAACATCTGCGTAAGTGGAATGGAATATGGAATCTTTCCAGCTGCTCCAGAATTTGTGGCGGGAAGTGAAAACCACCATCACAGAGGGCAGTGCACCTGGCACCCTCAACAACGTCCAGTAGAAAGACGCCACCAAAAGGCTAGTGACTGGACTGACTGGGGTGGGAGTTTTGGCCAGGAGATCCAGCCACTAGCCACTGCGGGCCGTGTCCCTGGGGTGGGGCCACGGAGATGTTGAAGAGGTGGCCTGGATCAGCTTTTCCGTGTCAGAGAAAATGAGGGGACGCCCCTCCACCTTAGGACCTCACTGAAATGTCCTCTGTGCACCTCAGGAGACACCAGCTACCAGGTACCATGGACAGGCAACAGCAGGGTGCACGTGGGCTCTTGGAGAAGCAGGGACGGCCCAGAGCCAGTAACAGTAGCACCAATTAAGTGGCAGACACAGTCCCTGTCCCCTGCCTCCCCCCACCCCCCACTGCCTGAGGAAGAAAATTCAACAGGCCCAGCTCTCCGTGGGTCCGTGGGTCCGTGGGTCCGTGGAGAGCGTGGAGTGCTGCTGCCCTCTGGGACTCCCCTCCTGCACACACCCTGCGCCCCCCGGCTGGCTCCCAGGGCTCCGGGGCTGGCTTCAGGAACAAGGAGAACTGAGGCCAGGGAGACGGGGAAGGGCCTGGGGAGGAGCTGGGAGGGTCTGGGAGGCCGGCAGAGCTGCTTTGATCCACAGCGTGGACTCTGGGCCCTTCCCGCCTGCGGGCTCCACCTGCCTCCCCAGCCCAGGTCAGGGTTAGGGGAGACTCCCAGGTCAGCGGGAGGCCAGGAAGACAGGGCAGCCCCGGGAGGGCCCTGGTGGGAGCAAGTGGCCCTCAGGGAGACGCACGGTGGACAGTGTTTGCCCCGCACCCTTCTCAGGGGATGCAGAGTTCACCTCTAGAAAACGGAAAGGGAAGTAGGGCACAGGGATAGACCCCAAATCACCAATCACCAATTATATTGACTAGAAAACCACACGTACACCTATATACTGTGTGTGTGTGTGTGTGTGTGTGTGCAGGAGCTATATGTGCATAAACATATTTATAGTGAGAGTTATTGACATGATCGAGTACATTTTATTCATTCCCACTGATTTATAATGTCCAATCTTTTTTTTAATTTTTTTTTTAGTTGCAAGTGGACACAATACCTTTATTTATTTGTTTATTTTTAT